TTCTATATATAGTTCCTCAAAAAGGTAGGTCTTTTGGGCCAAAGCCAGGGTTTAGGAGCCCTGGAGGGTGTAGGGTTCAGTGACAGTAAGGGGCCCTTGAGAGTTTAAGGCTTCAGGGGTTTAGGGTTTAGTAAGGCTTTAGGGTTCAGTAAGGGCACGCGGCCCTTGAGGCTTTAGGGTTTTGGGGCTTGAGGGGATGGTAAAGGTTACGGAGCCCTTGAGGGTTTAGGATCTAGCGGTTTCGGGTTTAGTAACAGTCAAGGCGCCTTAGAGGATTTCGGGTTTAATGTAGGGGCCTCAATAAATCGAAGAGGGTTTTGCGGCCCATTACACTATAAACATAATAAGGAACCGGCAAAATAGTATAGCTAAATGTGAAGACCCCTATACTGAACCCCTAAACCCTTACTTGGAGGTTCAGGGGTAGTTATAAGTAGGGTAACTATAGTTATCACCCATAATAGGGGATTTATAACCCTACTTATGACTACCCGTGAACCTCCAAGTAGTCGCAAAGACAGATCAGGTGCATGGCTTCCAGGTTCGCAACGGCAGCCAAAACCCTCCTTAGAAGACCCTCCACGGCAGTATCCTTTTGTACCTGGACCTAAACTCAAAATAAACCCTAAACCCTAAACCAACCAACCAACCTAAGTTTCCCAAATCCTGCCGCTTCTAAAGATTTTGAGTCAGGTTTGGGAGCATCTGAAAGCCGCCGAGGCTCGCTGCCATGCCACTTTGCCCTGCTGTCGTGATCACCACGGTCACACGCAGCCTGCTGAGGGTTTCGGGTTTAGGGTAGATGGCAGAAGTTTTCACCTTCCTTTGGAACGACGGGAATTCTGAAGCAAATTTCGGTACCTATAGTCTCCACTGTATTTCCATTTTTGGTTTAACCAATTTTATAATTAGGATCCGAAAAAGGTAACCCCCAAACGGAACTACAGTGGAGACTGTAGGTAGAGTTATGAGAACCCCAATAATCCAGCAAAGGGTTTACATCATGAGATGGTGGGACTGCAGGGTCTGTGTTTTAAGGGAGCTTGAAGGTAGCGTGGGTTCGGGGACCCGGCTGGCGCTTGCTTTATACCTGGACTCCTTTTACCGTTCGGGTTCGGGGTCTAGGTTACCCTGAATGAAATTATCAACCCTGGCCTACCCATCATCGTGTTTAATGTGGTTTCGTTGATGGTTTTTGGCTATGGCATCTGTGCGAGTGGCTAAAACTGACGAAGAATCTGAGCAAGGCACAACCTAATCCTCGTCGCCTGCTTCAACACCTGCCACCCCTGTTGTGGGGCAGTCAGGCAACGGCACCACCTGGGGTCCGTGTTACGACGGCAGGAAAAGGCATCCTTTTCATGGGCTCCCTTTTGACTTATGGGAGAACTCAACCACAAAAAACGCACAAAAACTCCCTGCCATTGTGCCTCGACCATAACCCCTACATCCCGAGAGTTTGTTTACGAAAGAAGCTGCTCTATCTAGGGGGCTCATGAGTCAGAAGTTCGCTGCGTGGAACCGACCAAGCCCGAAAGCTCCAAACTTGAAGCCCCAAACCCCTCACCGACAGTCACCCCCAAAAAAGCTGGCACACTGCCGAGGAGCTGTTCGAAGCTCTGAATGAGCTCTGCCTCCGGAAAGGGGTAGGGTGTAGGGTTTAGTGTTTAGGGTTTAGGGTTGAGTTCAGGGGCTAGGGATAATTGTAAAAAAAGGCTTCTAGCTGTCGAGTTTCAGCTTCGGCGCTTCGGGATCCACGATTTAGTAGTGTCGGGAGACAACTTTTCGGATCAGTTCTCATATGTGGAAAGTATACAATATTAAACTTTCGGATCAGTTCTCATATGGGGAACGTATACAATATTACAGATTAAAAAAGCTTATGGTATAGTATAATACATAATCCAGTATACTACATACGCCTGATTCGCAATTCCGAGGATTCGGTGTTGGGCGAGCGAATGTTTTCTCGGCTCTTACAAAAGACGATGGGCATAAGGGCTGGCTACTACGGTCAGTCAAAAATACCTTTACAAAGCCTGAAGATCCTAATTCCGTCGAACGAAGCTGTAGGAAAGAACCACTCAGTGGTAGCGAGGTCTTCTGAAGGCTTCACGACAGCCGCTGCAGTCGAAGCACAAAGCTGTCACCCCAGAAACCTCGAATACGGGTTTAGGGTGTAGGGTTCTGTAGGGCTTTCGGGGGTTTAGGGTTGTGACCTCACGGAAGATCTTTGGCAGACAGCCCTGCGGGCTTTTTGCTGACCTTCGAAGTGCGTCTGCGGTGAAACTCCGCAGCATCTTCCTGTAATCACTGCATGCATACATTCACTGAAGTCTCAGGGCTCTTCGGGCAATTCTTGCCACTTGTTCCTCGTTGCCTGTCCGGGTGCCATGAAGCTGTCTTGAGGACTTCCACGGAAAGCCGCTGCATCACCGCTAGTGTCCAATGTCCAGTAGATAATGCCTTACTTCCCCAATAAGCCCACAAAAATAGAAGGCTAAACTTCCAGATTTTAAAGACTAAACTTCCAGATTCTTTAACGAAACCATAGGAGCCCCCAGGAGTGTAAAGAAAGCCAAGATGCAATTCGACAAGGCAGATCGTAGACTCCACCCTTGAAGAAACCACCATTTCCCCCGCGTCTTCGGGAAGCGGCGTAGCACGTGGCTGGGTTTCATCAAGGTCTCGTAAGTCGTCACGTTCCTGGGCTGCATGCACGCTATACTGGAAAAAACTGCATATGTTTGTACCTGGTTACATTATATCAGGAGCTTAATAATCCATAAATCAAACCAAGAAGTTCCACTGAATATGCTAAAACCCTCAACCCCTTCTCCCAAAATGAAGACATGATACCACTAAATACCCTAAAATCTACAACCCTGATGCCACTGAAGATCCTAAACCCTTAGTGTAGGGGCCTAAATAATTACCAATACTATTATTTTTTTGTTTGGCGGGGGTCCTTATTATAATTATGGTATACAGGCCCCAAAAACCCTACTCTAATTATGAAGGCCCCTATAATCCCTTTTTTTACACCTATAATCCCTTTTTGCTACTGGACTTAATCCCTAAACCCTAAACCGACTATAGTAACCCCAGATCCTTTTTGGGGGGTTCCTTATTATAATGATGGTATATAAGGCCCCCAAAACCCTATTCTAACTATGAAGGCCCCCTTATAGCAACCCCAGATCCGAGCGTCACCATCATGTTAGCTGTCGTTCTGGCCATGAGGAGAGTGAGGAAATAGACCCAAAACAGGTCAACCCCGGCTGTAAGCAGGACCAGAACCTGATCGTCTCGATTTTAGGGGTTAGGGCTTAGGGTTTAGGGGTTTAGGGTTTAAGGCTTAGGTTTTTTTTCAGCTCCTTCTTCCATCCGCAGGTGCGTGTCTACAGGGCTTAGGGTTGAAGGTTTCCTATTGGCTCCACTGTAATTCCTTTTTTTGCTTTATCCAGTTAATCAACGTAACCGCAATGAGGAACTACGTACAATAGAGACTATAGGGGGGTGGCTATGAGTGGGGGCTACAAGTAGGGGAACTACGGTTATGACCCATATTAGGGGACTTACATATAGCTAAACCCTAAACCCGTGAACCGCCAGGTAAGGTTCAGGGGGCTATCAGAGCTTAGCGTTTCGCAGCCTATCTAGGGTTTAGGGTCTTAGCATCCTAGCGGGTTATATAGTAAATAAAGTGTTATATATATATATATATGTATATATATATATATATCGCATCTAGTACCCCCCCGCTCCCCCCCAAAAAAAAAGCAAAAAATGTTCCTACTCTACTAAGGAGCTGGTTGCAATTCCGCTCCCAGGGATCCACTCGTCAGGGACTGGAAAAGCTCACTGAAGGAGCCTCGGGAGATCTCTGGAAACACCGTGTCGAAAAAGTACAGGAAGACCGTGTAGTAGAAGTAAAGGACGGTGGCAAACATCAGCGTGACGAACACAAAGAAGGACCGCTGGTTCCCTAGACCAACGGTGTTGTCCTTACTTCGCAGCAAGCAGCCACAGAAACATAAGTCAAACTTTCAAACAGCTAACAAACCATAAGACCCCTCAAGGTTAACACAAATTGGTTGGGCACTTCTTCAGACTGCCAAAACCCCAAACCCTAAACCCTAAACCCGAAACCCTAAACCCTAAACTCGAAACCCTAAACCCTAAACCCAAACCAAGCGTCTATCCAGGGGCAATAATGGTCCTAAACCCTAAACCCTAAACCCTACAAAGAGTGCCAAGCGTCTATCCAAGGGCAATAATGGTCCTAAACCCTAAACCCTAAACCCTAAACCCAAACCAAGCGTCTATCCAGGGGCAATAATGGTCCATTCTGTGCACACACCGGCCTTGTTCCTTCACCTGGGTTCTTGTTAAGGGATTTAATTTTAAGTTACCATAATAGGGATCTATAGTAAATAATATGGTTTCCTTACTATGGTAACTTAAATTGAATCCCTTAACAAGAACCCAGTCGCGTGGTGCGAGCGAAACTCGCGCACGGTGCGGCAGATGACGCAGACCTGGGAAGGGTTTAGGGTTTAGGGTTTAGGGTTTAGGGTTTAGGGTTTAGGGTTTAGGGTGTAGGGTTTAGGGGGAATCCCAAAGACATTATAGTGTGCTTAAGGGTGGATGCCCTCAAAGTAAGTAAGGGTGGGTTTCGATGCCCTGTAAAGTTCGGGGTCATAACTTAAGTCATAACCTACCATTTTTTATTGGTTTAGGGTGATGCTCCCACCTGCTTGAAGTCGCCCTTTTCCACGAATGAAAGATACTCGCCACCCCCCTGTGCAAGGAGGTGCTCCACTCGAGCGCGTCCCAGGCTGTCTCCTGCAGCACGCTCACGCTCGTGCAGAGTCACCTTGCTTGTGCGCAGTATCCATGGGATTCAGGGTTTGGGGTTTAGGGGAAACGAAAGGTTAGCCTTTGGGATTACGTAGGTCAATGTAGGTACTGCAGTACCCGCCACTGCTGCTTCCCACCTCAAGAAAAGAGCTTAGAAGGTACCTGCTCTGCTACAAAGTCACTGTTGCCCGATCCAGCTGAGCCTGCCGTGACCCGGCATCATTGAAACCTGCGGCGATCAAGGGCTGGGACTCTCCCAAGGCTGGGCTTCGAGGATCGCCATGGCCACAGCCTTCTTCGAGGCGTTTCCGTGCTTCCCGGAGAAGTTGCCGCTGATAGTTGTACTTGTTCTGCTCTAGCTCCAGCTTCATGAGCTGGGGGGCCTCTCCGTCGCATGTCGAGATTAGCTTCTGCAGAACGTTGTCGCAGTGAGCCATCTGCGACTCGATCGGCTGATCAACATCAAAGGTCTTTGCTGGATCTTTGCCCATCAGGTGACTCTGGGAGTTTATGGTACGTGGCTGGAGCCAGCCAGGATCCGAGTAGAGGCACTGCACCCAGAGCAGGAGCGACAGTCCCATCAGTATGGACCAGGTCATGACGGCTTCAGGATTTCTAGCCGCAATTCCTGGTGCTACAACCAAGGCAAACAGGATGATGTTGAAGGCAACGAAGCAAACGAAGAGACTTGCGTAGTTATTCTGGAAAAGATGTGGCCTGCCGAACAAAAGCTTGAAGATTTGGCACTTGTGGAAGGCCATCACCAAGGTCCTTTTGTTTTTCCGCATTGCGAGTTCAATCGGGGTTTCGCCAGAACAATCCGGCACGTCTAGGAGGTCCACCGCGCCAACTTCCATGAGCATTTCCGTGATGATCGTGTGTCCTTGTCCCAGTACCCGAGTGGAACTCAAGGTTAACTGAGGTTATAGCGGAAACATAGAACTGTAGTACCGGGTTTAGGGTTTAGGGTTCAGGGTTTAGGGTCCTTGCATCGCTGCCCAATGAAGTGCCGTCATGCCCTCTCGGTCTCGGTGAACAATACTCGCAGATCTGGAGAGCAACCACTGGACTGTCTTCTTGTTCCCCTTGTGGCATGCCTTACATGTCCAGTACTCTAGGGGAACGAAAAGACTTTCCTTCTGGGTTATATAGGTATTATACCAAAAAACTTCAACAACGGTATCAGAGTACGCCAAAGCGGTTAAGGTTACCCTAAACCCTATAACGTTGCCGACTCCACTGCTAAGATGCCCATTGCAGGGCAGTTCTGCCTTGGTCGTCCTGTTCTTCAAGGCTGACACCCTTGAGGTACATCCACTCCATCCTGGGTTTATAGTAAATCCCAAAAAGTTGGATGCCCTTCTGAGGACAATTAGTGCTGAGATGTCCTATACATTAGTCTTATAAGGATTGAGGATATTTGGGGTTTTGTAAAGGAACTACATTCTAAGGGGCCATAAGCAGGAAACCATATTGTTTGCTATACAGATCCCGATTATGGCTAAGTTCTTCAATCACAACCCAGCATCACTGGACAATTGTCGGTCTGTGCGGACACAATGAAGGCAGTGAAGCCGTCGCAGTCGCGCATCGAGAGAAGAGCTCGGTTGACCTTCGTCATCGCATCCAAAGCCATGACATTGGAAGACTTTGCAGCCCAATGTACTGCACATTCTCCGGAATTGTTGGGGATGTCTGGCCTAGCTCTTTTTTCCAACAAAGGAGTGAGAAGCGAGTCGAGCCTGAACCATGCAGCGTAGTGGAGAGCCGTGTTGCCGTCTGAGTCCTGAATATCTGCTCTGTGGCCTTGCGCCAGCATCTCGATGACTGCCTCTGTGTTTTGTTGCGCAGCAGCATCTGCGACAGATGCATATCCTTGCTTGTCCAGTGTTTTAGGGGTAGTAAAGACTCGCCTTTGGGACTAGATCGGGAATACCTATATTCTCCATTGTAGTTCCTGGATTCCTGTTTGGGTTACCTTTTAGGAACCTTAATATAAAATTGGTTAAACCAAAAACGGAGACTATAGGTATAGTGCCCGCCCCAGAAAGGGTCAAAGCAGACCTTCTCTGCTTCCGAGTATCTGCCGCCACTGCTGCAGGGCGTGGGATTCGAATTCGAACCCCAGCTCTTCATGCTTCGATGTTCGGCGTCTACGACTAGAGGTACCACGATTGGCATGAAGAATTACTACTCTGAGCATTCGAACCGAACCGAAGTCCTGGATACAAGTTGAGGGCGACTGTCCGTCTTAGTGTTCGGGATCTACCGGGCTCGCGAATCGTCTTGAGCCCGGAGCCACTCGAAGACCAAGGGTTCCATGTGCCCACTGCATGAAGAAGTAAAGCAGAAGCCAGAAAGTTGGCGAAAATATCATCCTGATGACCGCTAGGTGAAGTAATAGGGATTATAAGGAGTCCTAGCGCTTATCATCCTAAACCCATGGTCCAACTTTCTGCGGTTCGTTGTAGGGCTTGCTAAACTCGAAACACCCGCCGTCCTCTGTGAACGTCGGGTTCAAGGGCACCGCGCAGGCACGGTGCATAACCTTGTGGACTTGCTGTGAAGCGAGGGGATTGCTCAACCAGGATCTCACAATTTCAGGGCTCCTTACGTTCTGAGAGTCCCATTGGGAATACGGTCGAGTTTTTCGGGCCAAGCCCGGCGCCCCGAAAAGCAACCCGGAAGACTCTCAAGATCCTTAGCTGAAGGATCTCAGTCCTTTGCCGACCCGGCGGCTCAATGATGTGTATCGTGCGTTGAAGATAAGGGTTGAGACCGGAGAAAAGGGCGCAACGGTTCAGAGGACATAATGGATCCGCTAGGAGCTCGGCTTCAAAAAGCAATGTAGGGGTCAGTTCAAACCAGCCTCATATCTAGGGCTCAAAACAGGGACCCTGACAGTTGGGGAACGGTTTGGCTTGTATGACAATAAAACCATAGGGGCTTACAGTGATTCACCATGCAAGGAGACACTCTTACTGACTAAACTTTTCAAGCCTTGGGACATTAATGCGGAAACATACCCCATCCCAATTTTCTTGTATTCCGGGCCCCAGTCGTTGTTCTACTCGGCAAACACCTGTTGCAGCGGCAGCGCATCAACGTCATGAACAAGGAGCGGCCAGCAAGCACGTCGCCATCTCTTTTCCTCACGGCGGCACGTGAAAGTTTCAGAAAGTGGGGCCGAATGGAAACCGAAGCACTAGAGTCCTCTACAGGCTTAGGACACCGAAATGAGGGAAGATGCTGTGATTCCGGAAAGTATCCTTGCGTACATTCCGCTCCCCACCCATACCGTTACCATTTCTTGTGCACTTGCCGCCGGTGGTATGCATACATACGTAGTTACTTGACTACTTCCTCAAAGCATGCATCCATACATACATACCTACCTGCCTACCTACATACATACGTATGTTCATTCCTTACACTACATTACATTACATTACATTACATTACATTACATTACATTACATTACATTACATTACATTACATTACATTACATTACATTACATTACATTACATTACATTACAATTACATTGCATTACATTACATTGCATTCCATTACATTACATTACATTGCATTACATTACATTACATTACATTACATTACATTACATTACATTACATTACATTACATTACATTACCTACATGCGTACATAAATACATACATACATACATACATACATACATACATACATGCATGCATGCATGCATGCATACATACATAGACATACATACAT